GGGCTATGACAAGAAGACTGGGCAAGGAGAAGAACTCGGAGAATCTTGCTGGCACGCAGGCAAGATATGGCCAATATCTCCAGGATCTCTGAAGGACAAGGTGGTATGGCACAGTCAAGACCAGCATGCGATCCGGCAAGATGTTTTCGACTGCTATCGCTACACCTCAGCAAATCTTCTCCAGTCAAGGCCTGCAGGGACTATGGATGTTTGGAGACACAAGGCAAGCAATGGGCGTGCATCTCCGGTCTACCAGCCATGGGGGCCATGGCTATTGAGAGGGGGGTAGTGTTACGAGCGTACCCTTGACACACCACTCAGCCCTCAGCCCTATGGCTAGCGGGCCTTGGCGGAGGCATCTCCTACTATATCATGCCTCCTTCCTACCTACATAGTTCGGTAGCCTTATTATCCTAGTTCTACCTTCACCCATACTAGTATCGCACCTATGCTGGTCCTAACATCTACTACTATTACTTTCTTAATCTATTATCTTATTTTTTAATTCCCCTTAATAATTATATTCTTTAATTTTATCTTAAATACTAGTTTATATAATTTCTTTATTTACTTAAAATTCTTAATTATATTTTTAATATTTTTAAGATACTTTATTAATTTCTACGAAGCTTTATAAGATAAAAAAGTTTTTTTAATTAATAAAATACTTAGTCTTATCTTTATAAACTCTTTTATCTAATATCTTATTAATCTCCTATTTTTTTTTATTAATTAAGATTACTTATAGTTTTAAATTATTATTATATAAATATTATAACTTTAATAGCGATATATAAAATATAAAATAATTTTTTTTATATCTAATAGAAAGATCTAGCTTATAAATCTAATTTTTTTTTAATACTTTAAAAGACTTAAATTATTTATAATTAAGTTTCTTCTTTAATTATAAAATATATATATTATAACTTTATAATAATACTTTATTTTCTTTTTTAAAGATTATAATCTTATAATTACTATTATAATACTTTATTTATTATTTTAATACTTACTTCTATAATTCTTTTAGATATAATCTTATCTCTTATAATTATTCTACTTACTCTATAATAAATAATACTTTTCTCTCTTAAGATTCTACTTTTAAAAATATTTTTATTACTATATATCTTATTAATAGCTCTTATAAGATCTTATTAATATTTATATATATATCTATTATATATATATTAACGCTAGTTATTAATAAAATTTTAAATTAATTATTCTATTTATAATTATAATATATTTATAAATAATATTTTAATATCTAATTTTATCTTTTAATTTAATTATTAATTTAAAAATAAAATATAATATTTAATTTATACTTCGCACTTAGATATTAATATAATATTATCTAAAATTTATTTATAAATAGAAAGTCTTTATTTAAAATTAAAGTTATATATTATATCGCGTAATAATATAAACTCTTATTATAAGATATTAATAAGATTATTAATCTTTAAATTCTTAATAATTATTATATATATTATATATTTAATTAACTTATTTATTAAGATTAAAATAATATTATAAATTAAAATAATATATAAATTTCTTCATAAATAGTAGATTTATAATAAACTTTAATATTATAATATAAAATAGATCTATACTATTTATAAGAAATTAATATTAACTTATTATATAACTTATAATAATAAATTTATATTCTTTAATAATTAAAATAAATATAAATATACTCTATTATATCGCTTATTATACTTATCTAATAGTATTTAAACTTAATATTTTTCTTAATACGCTTATAAGTAAAGTACTTAGTATTAAAATTATTATAATTTATATAAAGAATCTCTTTCTTTATAATAGAATTATTAGAGAATATAGATTACGAGACTATAACGTAATAATTTATTCTTATTAATTTTCTATATCGAAAACTTATTCTATTTAATAGCGTATCTTTAGCGTTATCTCTTATTTATAATAAAAATATTCTTATATTATAATTTAAGTAATTATATTACTATTAATTTCTATAACTTTAAATAAAATTATTTTAACTCTAAAATCTAATAAATTAAAAATTAAGATAATATTATAGTTAAATAAGTAAAGGCCTATAAATTAAATTTATAAAGTTGAATTTTTCTAAGTTAAATCGAATTTTAGTCTTAGCTCTAAGTTAAATTAAACTCTAATCGCTTATTATATATTTTTAATCTACTTTTATTACTTAAAATTAATTTAATCTATATAATATATAAATATATATATATGAAGAGAGGCGCGCTAAGACTTAATTAGAAAGGTATATTAAGTATAAAGAATTAATCTATAATAATTATTTATAAAAAATAGAGAAAGATTATATTCTTATAATAAGAAATATTAAAATATCGAAAAGAAATAAAGATAATATATTAATTAGTAATATAAATTTTATATTATCTTCTATCGTAGTAAAATCTTTCGAATAATAAAATAGCTATTAAAGTAAGATATCGAATAATTTTAATTTATCTAAATATATATCGTTTAATATTTCTTTTATAAAGATTATAGTAATAAACTATATTAATATAATAGAGATAATAAATTAAGTTATAATAATATTCTTCGCTTATTAAATAATAATTTAATATAGAATTATAGTAGAGTATATAACGTAAGATCTTAAAGAGCTATAGCCGTATTCTTAACGATAATAGTCTTATTACTATTTAATTTCTTCGTAATATTCTTTATATTTATCTATTATAATTTCTTCTTTTTTCTTTTAATTATAAAGTATTAAATTAAATAGCTAATTATATTATTTTAATTAAAATTAAATAACTTATATAATATAGAATCTTAAAGTAAGCTCTATATTCTTAATAATAATAATTTTATTATCGCTTAATTTCTTTATAGTATTCTTTATAATATTCTTATAATATTCTTCGTAGTATTCTCTATATTTATCTATTATAATTTCTTCTCTTATTTTTTAATATAATAAAGAATAATAGACTAAGTTATAATAATATTCTTCGCTTATTAAATAATAATTTAATATAGAACTATAGAGAGTATATAATATAAGATCTTAAAGAGCTAAGCCGTATTCTTAATACTAAGAGATCTTATTATTACTTAATTTCTTTATAATATTCTCTATAATATTCTTTATAGTATTCTCCGCATTTATCTATTATAGTTTCTTCTTTTACTTCTTAATATAATAAAGATAATAAACTAAATTATAATAATATTCTTCACTTACTAAATAATAATTTAATATAAAATTATAGAGAGTATATAACGTGGGATTTTAGAGAGCTAAGTCGTATTCTTAATAATAATAATTTTATTACCGCTTAATTTCTCCGTAATATTCTTTATAGTATTTTGTAGTATTCTTTATATTTTATTTTTATATTTATTTTTATAATTTTCTTTTATAATAATATTTAATTTTTAATGCTATAATCGTCCGTATTAAATTCTTCTCTTATTAACATTATTATAGTAATAATTAATAAATAATAAAAAATAATAAATATAAATTATAATAATATTCGATCTCGAACGCGTTTAATATAATTATAATATTTAAATATTAATTTAATTTATCTATCGCTAACTTAAAAGAAGTATATAGAGAAATTAAGCTCTTTTTAAGAATCTTTTAACGCGTTTATAAGTAGTAATAGATAGTTATAATTATATTAATAGAATTCATTAAGAAATAGTCTAGAGGTTAATAGTAGGCTTTAATAGATAAAGTTATATCTAAATCGAACGCGTTTTAATATAACTATAATATTTAGAATATTAGTTTAATTTATCTATCAAAAGAGTATATAATAAAGAATATTTTTATTTTATAAGTATTTAACGCGTTTATAAGTAGATAGTAGAATAATTATTAGGCTGCGCTTGATAACCTCGATTATTAATAATAGCAAATTTTAAGAAATAATTTAAAAATATTAATAAATTTGGTAAAAATTTTTTAAAAAAAAAAAAAAGCCAATCATAAATTCGGGTCCTGTACGCTTTTTAGTTAGACCGGCTGAGTCAGCCCGATAGCCCTCCCGAGCTCCCTCATCAAAAATTTGTATGTAGAAGTTTTACACTTTGAAGTACTCAGCTTGCGATATATACAGTTACTTCATAATTCCTCAAATTGTAGAGCTCGCTTTGCGCTTTCTAACGCTGTAAAAATTATGAAGTTTGGCCTACTATTGGTGGATTAAATGGATATTCAAATATGGTAGTCATGGTAGTCACACCAGACGCGTCCGGGATCGGATAATAATCCTTCCACCTGTTTGTTATTCTTCCACCATTCTACCAATTCTACCAATTCTACCAATTCCACCAATATGAACACAATCGTCTTCGGTACCCCTCGCCCAATTAGAGCCCCTTACTGACGCCCCCAGGCCACCCCTCGGCGAATCCGCTACTGCTGGCAATCGAGGCCGCAAGCGAGCCCAACAGCTACCTACTACTACTCATAAACGCGTTGAAAGGCCCTCAAAAAGAGCCCGAACGGATACGTCCTCCCCTACATACTCCTCCCAAGCCAGCGATAGGTGGGTTAAACTAACATTCAAATATTGTAGTCACACCAAACGCGTCCGGGATCGGATAATAATCCTTCCACCTATTTGTGTACTTTTTAACCATTCTTCTTCCACCATTCTACCAATTCTACCAATTCTATCAATTCTACCAATTCCACCAATATAAACACATTTACCCTCGATACCCTCGCACTCAGTTAAACAAGAGGAGGATCTACAACAGGCGAATGCGGAGAACACTGCGGAGAACACTGCGGAGAACATTGCGGAGACAGTCATCAGCAGCAGTGACACAACAGGCCTACTCTCCACGGTCTCACACCAATCCACTCAGCCAGTGCAAGAGAAGTCACTACAGCAGGCGAATACGGAGAACACTGCGGAGAAACCAAGCGACAACAAGGCCCCCAGCACCAAGAACAGGCTCAGCTCTCCAAGATCCCACGTCATATGCTCTCCACGATTCCACATCAAATCATCACTCAGCAAGCGGAGAACACCACTGTAACTTGGCCTGTCATCCCCACTGCATTGAGGAGTAAGAGGAGGAACTACAACAGGCAAATGCGGAGAACACTGCGGAGAAACCAAGCGGTAACAAGGCCACCATCGTCAAGAACACGGCTCAGCTCTCCAAGATCCCACGTCATATGCTCTCCACGGTTCCACATCAAATCATCACTCAGCAAGCGGAGAACACCACTGCAACTTGGCCGTTCCACATCAAATCATCACTCAGCAAGCGAAGAACACCACTGCAACTTGGCCTATCATCCCCACTACATTGAGGAGCAAGAGGAGGAACTACAACAGGCAAATGCGGAGAACACTGCGGAGAAACCAAGCGGCAACAAGGCCACCATCGTCAAGAACACGGCTCAGCTCTCCAAGATCCCACGTCATATCAGTCATCCACTCAGTCAGCCACTCAGCTAGCCACTCAGTCTAATACTCTACAAGAGGAGGAGCAAGAGGAGGAACTACAACAGGCAAATGCGGAGAACACTGCGGAGAAACCAAGCGGCAACAAGGCCACCATCGTCAGGAACACGGCTCAGCTCTCCAAGATCCCACGTCATATGCTCTCCACGGTTCCACATCAAATCATCACTCAGAGAAAAATACTGAAGCGGAGAACACCACTGCAACTTGGCCTGTCATCCCCACTAGAGGAGCAAGAGGAGGAACTACAACAGGCAAATGCGGAGAACACTGACGGAGAAACCAAGCGGCAACAAGGCCACCATCGTCAGGAACACGGCTCAGCTCTCCAAGATCCCACGTCATATTCCACGGTTCCCATCAAATATCACTCAGCAAGCGAACACCACTCAACTTAGCCTGTCATCTCCACTAATTAAGGAGTAAGAGGAGGAACTACAACAGAATGCAAATGCGGAGAACACTGCGGAGAAACCAAGCGGCAACAAGGCCACCATCGTCAGGAACACGGCTCAGCTCTCCAAGATCCCACGTCATATGCTCTCCACGGTTCCACATCAAATCATCACTCAGCAAGCGGAGAACACCACTGCAACTTGGCCTGTCATCCCCACTGCATTGATATGGTACATCACTGCAATGACGTCACAAGAGGAGGATCTACTGCGACGATCACAGTCAATTGGGCCTCTGCAGGAGGGACATCGGACGATGCATATTTGGACGAATTGAAACCGTCCGATGTCTACAGCTATCTCATTATTCGAAAGATTTCACTGCGGCAGGAGATATTGTGGGATTCACACCACTAATTGGCACGTTATCTCCATTTCTTTCCGGTATTCCAATACTTCTTGCCATGAGGACATGGCCTTTCTCTATTTTTTGTAAGTCCCAGGGCCAGTCATTACAGCAAATCGGCCTATACCTATACCCCGAGGTCTTTACCCATAATCAACTATATATAACCCTAAACCGAGTTACCAGCAAGGCCGGCCTATCAATTATAACCCCAGGCGATCTACCAAGAAGACAACCCACTCGACCGACGAGGTGTATCAAGAACAAGGTTATCAAGCAGGTGCTTCTTTTTTAAGTAAGGACGTGATTGGTCAGCGATCTGTAGTGATAGAAGTAGGCCATTTGCCGCATAGAAAGCAAGCAGAGTCCGATTTAACTTAGAGTTAGGGCTTTTACCTTCTTTATTAATTTCGTAGTGGTGGAAGTAGGTTAAAAACGCATAGTAAGCGATCAGAGTTCGATTTGTACTTAGGGCTAGGGCTAAAATTCCATTTGATACTTTTGAAGTACTTAGCTTGCGATATATATAGTTACTTTATAATTCCTTAAATTGTAAAGCTCGCTTTGCGCTTTCTAACGCTGTAAAAATTTTGAAGTTTGGCCTACTATTAGTGGATTAAATGGATATTCAAATATGATAGTCATGGTAATCACACTAGACGCGTCCGGGATCGGATAATAATAATCCTTCCACCTGTTGGTGTGTTTGTTATTCTTCTATTATTCTATCAATTCTATTAATTCTATCAATTCTACCAATTCCACTAATATAAATATAATCGTCTTCGATACCCCTCGCCTAAAGGTTACTCAACGTTTCAGGCACATATACCCCTTTTGCCCGCCTCTTAGAGCCCCTACTAACGCCCCCAGGCCATCCCTCCGCGAATCCGCTACTACTGGCAATCGAGGCTACAGTCTAACAGCTATCTACTACTACTTATAAACGCGTTGAAAGACCCTTAAAAAGAGCCTAAACGGATTTACAGCCATCGTCCTCCCCTATATACTCCTCCTAAGCCAGCGATAATGCCTTTCAACCCAGCGATACTACCTCTCAAGCGTCTTCCTCCCCTATTCGTTCTTTATCACCCTATAAATATATTTACTCTCGATACCCTCGCACTCAGTTAAATAAGAGGAGGATCTATAATAGGCGAATGCGGAGAATACTACGGAGAAACCAAGCGGCAATAAGGCCACCATCGTCAAGAACACGGCTCAGCTCTCCAAGATCCCACGTTACATCAGTCATCCACTCAGTCAGCCACTCAGCTAGCCACTCAGTCTGATACTCTACAAGAGGAGGAGCAAGAGAAGGAACTACAACAGGCAAATGCGGAGAACACTGCGGAGAATACTATGGAGAACACTGCGGAGTAACCAAGCGGTAATAAGGCCCCCAGCACCAAGAACACGGCTCAGCTCTCCAAGATCCCACGTCATATACTCTCCACGGTTCCACATCAAATCATCACTCAGCAAGCGAAGAACACCACTACAACTTAGCCTATTATCCCCACTATATTAAGAAGTAAGAGGAGGAACTACAACAGGCAAATGCGGAGAATACTACGAAGAATACTGCGAAGAACACTGCGGAGAAACCAAGCGGCAACAAGGCCACCATCGTCAAGAACACGGCTCAGCTCTCCAAGATCCCACGTCATATCAGTCATCCACTCAGTCAGCCACTCAGCTAGCCACTCAGTCTGATACTCTACAAGAGGAGGAGCAAGAGGAGGAACTACAACAGGCAAATGCGGAGAACACTACGGAGAAACCAAGCGACAACAAGGCCCCCAGCACCAAGAACAGGCTCAGCTCTCCAAGATCCCACGTCACATGCTCTCCACGGTTCCACATGAAATCATCACTCAGCAAGCGGAGAACACCACTGCAACTTGGCCTATTATCCCCACTGCATTAAGGAGCAAGAGGAGGATCTACTGCGACGATCATAGCCAATTGGGCCTCTGCAGGAGGAACATCGGACGATATATATTTGGACGAATTGAAACCGTCCGATGTCTTGCTCTGATAGCTATTTCATTATTCGAAAGATTTCACTGCGGCAGGAGATAATGTGGGATTCACACCACTAATTAGTATGTTGTCTCCATTTCTTTCCGATATTTCGATACTTCTTGCCATAAGGATATGGCCTTTCTCTGTTTTAATCCTCTATACTCGATATACCTTTCTAATTAGACCTTAACGCGCCTCTCTCCACACATATATACCTATATACTATATAGATTAAATTAATTTTGTAGTAGTGGAAGTAGGTCAAAAACGTATAGCAAGCGATTAGAGTTCGATTTGACTTAGGGCTAGGGCTAAAATTCCATTTAACTTAGAAAAATCCAACTTCATTTAACTTAGAAAAATGAAAAATCCAACTTCATGAATTTAATTCATGGGTCTTTACTTATATTATTTAATTACTTTATTAACGCTATAAATTTAATTATAATAAATATACTATTATATTTTTATAGATTAAATTAATATTTCTAATTACGAAGCTTATTTTATAAGATAGAGAGGAAATTATTATTATTATTCTCGCTATTATTTAATTTAATAATATTAAATCTTTTTAATAATATATTTATAGAATTAAGTTTTCTTTTATAATATTTAATTATAAAGTTAAATATAATTAATTTCTTAATCTAGCGAATCTACTTTATATTAAACTCTTTTATTATTATAAAATAATATAAATTATTATAATTTAAGATTATATAAATAAGATACTTATTATTTTATAAGTAATATCTTTAATTCTTAAAGTCTAATATAATCGTATAAAGTTTCTTATTATATATATCTTAATAAAACTTAATATCTTTAAATTTATAATTAGAAAATATAATAAAATATTATTATATATTCTTATTTAATTAAGTAAATATATTATCTATATCTATATTAAAAGTATTAATTTTTATAATAAATAATATTTCTTAATTATAATATTTTAATATAAATATAATAATAAATACTCGCTTAAGTATTTTAAAAGTTTTATATACTTTTTTATTAAATATAAAGAATAATTTAATCTTATTTTTCTTTATCTCTTAAGTTAGGTCTATTAAAAATATAATTATTTATAAAAAGTCTTATACGAATTATTAATAGAAGTTTATAAATTTTAAAAAGATTAAGATATTCTTAATAGACTTTAATTCTAATTATTTAATAATAATCTTAATACGTAATAGCTTTATTTAAATATTATACTAGTTTATTAAGAATCTTAAAAAAATAATCTTATTTATTAAAAATATAATTATTTATAAAAAGTCTTATATAAATTATTAATAGAAGTTTATAAATTTTAGAAAGATTAGAATATTCTTAATAGACTTTAATTCTAATTATTTAGTAATAATCTTAATATATAATAGCTTTATTTAAATATTACGCTAATTTATTAAGAATTTTAAAAAGATAATTTTATTATAATTAAAAGTATATTTCGATAGCTTTATATAAAATTAATATTTTAATAATATATATAATATTTTACGTATATACTTCTAATATAACTCTTTTATTTTAAAATAAATTAATATATTATTTAAATATATTATTTAAGAAATATTAATATATAACTTATATATTTTATTTATATAAATTTAAAAGATTATAAAGATATTTATAAAATTAAAAGATATTATTTAATACTCGAATTAGTTATAATAAATTCGAAAGATAATTTTCTATTTATCTCTCTTTTATATTTATATTTAATAATATATATTATAAATATTAATCTTAATAAAGTATTTTATATATATAAATCTTTTTAAAATTTCTAAAAGTAATAATAATAAATAATTATTCTTAATTATAATTTTATTAAACTCTTAATAGTTAATATATAATTATAGCGAATTATTTAATTTCTTAATAAATAGTATTAATAAGCTAATTTAATTAATTAAAAGTTAAATTTACTTTCTTTTAAGCGTAATATTTAAATAATTTTTAATCGCTATAAGTTTATTATATAATATATTATAAATTAAATTATTTTTAAGTATCTTTCTAAATAGTAAGTTAATTAAATATTTAATTTAATTATATATATTAAAATTATTAAATAATTTTTCTAAAAAAAATTATAATAAATTTTTAAATTATTTAAATATATTAAAGTTATTTAATTATATAATATTATATTATATAATTTTATTATAATTATTCTTACTACTTTTAAATAGAATCTAATATAAAAGAAACGCTTATTCTAGATTATATATAATTATTATATTAATTAATAATATAAATTATTTTATATTTATTATTATAATATTTATTTATATTTTATTACTTATAAGAAAATCGCGATAGATCTAGAATTACTTACGCTAATAAATATTTAAATTAATATTATAAATTTAAAAGAAATTAAGAATAAAATTATATTCTTATATATTTATAATATATATCTTTAAGATTTACTCTTACTTTTTTCCTCAACTATTTATAAAATTAAAAATTAAATTATATCTTTTATATAAAAATATTTAATAATTATTAATAATATATACTATTATTAATATATATTTAAATTTAAAAATCTATATTTCTTTAATAAAAGATTATAATATAAAGATTTTCTTATTATTAATATTTATTAAAATAATTATCTTATACTTTTTATTTAATATAATAATTTTATCTCTTAATAATAAAAAGCGAGGTTATTAGTATATATAAAAGAATAAGATAGAGCTAAGCTTGAAAATCTTAAATTTATATATATAGTTAATTATTAATTCGAGTTCTATACGCTTTTTAATTAAATCGACTAAATTAGCTTAATAGCCCTCTCGCGTTTTCTTATTAAAAATTTATATATAAAAGTTTTATACTTTAAAGTACTTAGTTTACGATATATATAGTTACTTTAT